CACCTTTATCTGATTGTCCGGGTCCGGAATCATTAAGCACGGCATTAATATCTTCATCAGAGTTTTTCGTTGTCTCCAGATTTCTCTGCAATTCGTGTATGTTGTTAAAAAACGCGGAACATAATTTTATTCCACACAACAGGCAAGCATTACTACGATACGGAGCCCGGGAAGTCACCTGTAGGAAAAAAAAAAATAATCCGTGGCGACGGTTTTGCAATTCGTCCCCTCAGTTTATAAACCATACTCGCGCATTCTTAAACTGCCCCCTCAGTTTAATAAATCGTGCCCACGGATTAATAAACCATTTAAATTGTTTTATTTCCCTTAGTTGCCAATAATTTTATAATCTAATTTTAGTTTAGGTTAAGTTTCCAATATTTCAATATCCAATATTTACATTTTAGTTCAGCTTTATTTCAGTTAATGGAAATTATTGTTAATAGTTTTAGTTTACAATAACAAAACTGGTATTTAAATATTTATATTTAAATAACTTCCAATAAGTTTCTTTTACAATGTTTATTTTCATTTTTGTTTTACAATCTTTTGGGTCTAGTTTTAAACTTTCAGCTGATTGTATCATGGCTACTAGACATGTAGAGAGAGTGTCGAGCAATAAACTTTTTTAAGGCTCATAAGAAGGTCCAAACCCACCTTCAGAACCTCCACCGGTACTTGAGCTGGAGAAGGCCGGGCAGCCATTGGTGGCACCGTGACGGAGATGGCGGGAGTGGATTCTAAAGGGCGGAGCTGAGCGACAGAAGCCTGCTGCTGCGCCTCCCTCCTCTCCTGCTCCTGTGCCTGCTCCCGCATCAGCTGTTGCCGTAGCAACACTCGGGATGACATGGCTACGCTGGTTCCACAGGTCAAGTATGAGAAGAATTAACAAGCTGCAGTAGTGAAAGCATAAAGAAAGTTGTCAATAGTACTAGAGGCAACATAAAAGGAAATTATGGAAATGGTCACTTCTCCCTTTGTACAATAAAGGGTTAAGAAACGGAAATTTAATTGAGCTGAGTCATGACACTCAGATAGTTGCATTCAAAGAGAAATGTAATACTGTACCAAAGCTCGATCAGCAAACAGATTCAGTTCTCAAACTATATATGAATATAAATTATATCAAAAATACTTGTATATATAATTAAATTAACACACAAATCACAAGTAGCATACTTAAATTGCAACTGTGCATTTTCAAAAGCTATAAAACTACCCAACAAGCGCAATATATAAAAAAATACAATAAAACGTGTACGACCAAAATCCACTTTAAATTTAAGATCTGAATACGCATCATGTCATATAAATAGAGCTCTATCATGGGGAAGTACAGAATTTACCAGATGACAGCTAAACAAATTTCCCTTTAAATACCAACAAATCACCAGGAACACTAATTTGAATGTATTTCTGGAGCTATAAACAAACAAAAACACTTCAATCACGATTGTGCAGTTAGATATGCTACTGTAGCCGAGTTGTGTAATAGTTCGCTACACTGTCGGGATTAACCGAACTATTTAAAGTTGGGCAAGTTCGTAACTTAAACCAAATTAACTTGTGTATTCGTTATTTACAACATCAAGCAAATGTAACTGCATATGACCATCTCTAGGGCGCACTTAACAAACCCAGAATAAGTTAAGTTAGTTGTTTTTGACAGCATCCAGCTGTTAACGCTAAGCTAACAAGCTAGCTAGTTAACATGTCAACCAACGTCAAACGGACACGTTGCCTGTATTTAACTTAATTTTCTTTCACGCAGAATTATTCTGAGATTAACACGGCTCGTGTCAGCTCAACAAGAGGTCGAAATTAAGTTGTTTTGAGTTACCTGGTTGGTGTTAGCAGAAGTAACGCGAGTTTGCTAAAAGAATCGCCATTACTCGCATGAGGATTTCCTTGTTTTTGATGTGACAGACTGAGCCCATCTCTCCTCATCACACTCACCCCCTTCCTCTTTCACATGTAAAGTTTTCTGTCATTGTTAGCTAAAACTATTAAAAAGTTAGGTAATTGAAATACAGCTAAAGTAAAAATATTATATGAAAATTAATCTTTAAAATTAGATATGAACTGTTGCATTTATAACTGAAAAAAATACTAAAACTAAAATTACATAAAGACAAATAAAACAGCACATCAAAATTACTAAAACTTACAACGAAAATTAAAATTAAAACTGAAAGTATAAAAATAAAACCTATTTATAAATACTATAATAGGAGAGAGAGACAGACACAGAGAGAGAGACAGCGAGACACACAGACAGAGAGAGACAGAGAGACACACAGACAGAGAGAGAAAGAGAGAGACAGAGAGACACACAGACAGAGAGAGAAAGAGAGAGACAGAAAGACACAGAGAGAGAGAGAGAGAGAGAGAGAGAGAGAGATTAAAAGTAACACTGGCATGGCATCTATATGTTTTCAAAGCTTACAAACATAAACATTTTTTACAGCAACTGTCAAAAGGTTGGACACACCTACTTAACTATTATTCTTAAACATGAAAAATTGTAATAAAGTAAAAAATTCCGAAATGACTTAATGAAAGTATGGGGAAAATATTGTGGCAAAAAAAAAAGTCAAATCAAAACTATTTTATGTGACTAAATTACAGGCTACTCTTCCTTGATAATCTGGTTTAACTAGTTCCTATAAAAGTAAATAAAAGTTTTTTTTTTTCTTAAAATTCATAAATAACAGATTTCAATGTAAATGTTTTTACATTGATGATGACGATGGCAAACTGTCAACAAAACATTTCAAACCATCATAGTTGAATAGCTCAAGTCATAAGTTTAAAACAGATTTTTTTTAAATGGTTGAAAGATGGTATGAGTTTCTCTGGTACAAGGAGCTGTAAAGTAAAAGAAAACCTGCAGGTGATTTATGAGTAGAAAGGAGGTCAATAAATAGCCACAGAAATCTAGTGGTGTCATTCTTTTCAGTCAGAGAAAAGATTCTTTATTTGCATATTTTAAATTATAGATAATTTAAATATACATGTGAAAAGTTGAATGAACTACCCTGAGCATCTTGGTTTAATGCTCGCCGCATCAGCTGTCAGACAAGGAGAAATTCAAAGCTGATGTAAGAGAATCTGAAAGTTTGGTGCCCAGTTTATCTATGAAAGAAGAAAGGAGAAGATATGTTAGAATACATAGTTTTTAAGCAGTGTATTTGGCATGTACTATATGTAAAAAACAAACTGTATCCAAAATAAATGTTTAATGGCAAGCATGTTGAAGATTACCTGATAGGCTGTCAATTCATTAAATGATAAGCTGTTTTGCCACAAGGCAGTTTTTATTTTGGCAGTTTATTCAGTGTAGGGAAGTCTTTCCTCCATTTGCATCCATTAAAAAAAAACAGCCTCTGGTCTTCTTTTTTTGCTAACCTTGGAGGCTTGCTTTAAAGTGGCTTTGGAGACAGGAAAAACAATGTTGGTCTTACCAGCTCTTTTTTGCTGCTTCTTTCTCTTTTTGTTGGCAGCCAGGAGAGCCTGACCTTGCAGGAGTGGGTCAACATCCAGGATGCCTTTTAGGTCCACTGGCTTTGGGCCTACAGCTTCAATTGCAGTACTGCTTTTTGTCTTGGGAACCTTTAGCTCAACGGTCATTGGTCCGAACTTAATGGAAGAAATATAATTGAAAATCAAAAATTTAATTTGAGTCTTAAAACGCACTATAACAAATTACCACCAAACTAACCTATGCACAATGAACGACTAATTGTAGGTGGGTGTAAAATTATCTTGAATTAAGAACTGAAATGCATAATACCTCTGGGTCCTCCTCATCTGCATCCATTGATTCAACCGTGTCTTGAAGTTCAAGGTCCTCTGATGGGTCGTCCATTTGCTGTTCTGCTAGCTCTTCTCCTTGACCTTGTGTCAATCCTGACGTAGCCATACAGAACCCCATCTGTGCATCAGATGCACCACATTCTAAATTGTACAAAAATAAAATGGCATAAGTGTGTGGAGGTAATGCGGGGTTACAAAACTTTTGGAAATGTCATGGAATTTTCACTGATAGTATAGACAGGGTTACCAGCCAGTGCCTCCAGATTGCCCTTCTCCAGTTCATCCCAGTCAAAAGCTTTGCCCATCTCAGCAACAATCTCAGCACTGACATGCGTGGGCAGTGTGTGCGTCTCAGGAGGATGTGTGAAGTAGCTAATACGACCCCTTTGAAACACCGAGAAAGATTTCAGAATGAACGTAGTCGTCTGATTTTGACCAACCAGCAACAGCTAAAGTAGCATTTAAATGACATTGAATAAAAGTCTAAAACGGAATCTTTTTCTGCCTTAAAAACACTAGGAAATGCAATTATATGCTTTTTAATTTTATGTCTTTATGAACTTTTGGAAGCTTGAAAATTGTGGACTTGTAATAAACAGACAAAATGATGGGAGAATATTAAAATCTTCAACTGAGTTCCAAAGATGGACAAAATACAAAAAATGGTTTGGAACGACTTGAGGGTGAGTAAATGACAATTTTCACTTAATTTCACATTTTCTTTTGTGCATTCAGTTGAACATTTAGTCTTTCTAACCTTTTATGCCATTCTTTCTTCTGTGAAACACATAAGAAGATATTTTGAAAAACATCTGTGTTTATCCATGAAATCCATAAAGTCATGGGGTCCAAAGTTGTTTTGCACATCTTTGTATGTGAAAAAACAGGTGAAACATTCTTCAAAATATCATTATTTTTTGTTTTGCAGAAGAAACTGAGTCATGGGGGTTTGGAACAACAAAGGAATTTCATTTTTGTGTAAAGTATCACCCTTAAAGATCAACAGGTAACTGACGTTAAGGTCAACGGGACTATAACCTCACCCAGTCCAATCCATAAGAACACTCTTGGCAGCTTTGTCAGAGTCAGGCAGTCCTCCTTTCCTCAGCTTGCCTTGACGACGGGCAAGTAAGGCAAGGAACTCATGTGCCGTCTGGAAGTCTGGAATTTCATAATGATCCATAATCTACACAAGAAAGATTACAAACAACTGATCTCAATTGTGTGTAATACTATGACTACCCATTCAATTAAAGCTCCTGAAATATGAGTTGCTACCTGTGCTTTATTGCAGCGCCTCAATATGGCTTCAACAGGTGGAATTGGGTCCATCAGCTGTTCAATCTTGACACAGTTCCGAAGGATCATGGCAGCATCACTGGTCGAGGTTGCCATGACAATACCAGGGCAATCTAAAAGTTTGATGTGCTTATCTAGATGGACTTCCTGTAAACACCTGAAAAACAGATTGATTTTAGTGAAAGAGAGCAGAAGGTTTTAATTAGAAAAAAAAAAAAGACTTTAAATTTATGGAAAATATCAACATACTTAGTAACTCCAGGTGTAGCTCCAACATTACATGCACGAGAACGCTTCAAGCTGTTAATTAAACTGCTTTTCCCCACATTCGGAAAACCTGAAACATTTAAGCGGGGTAATGTGATTCCAAAAAGACGGGTGTCTGTTGCTAATTTGCTCATTATGGAATTAGCTACATGTAACAAAATAATAATATTAATAATGTAGCAGTCATATCTCAACTGTTGTGTGAAACTTACCAACCACTCCTACACTTATGGCAGTTTTTATATCTTGGTTACGGCAGTAGTTTCCCAATAGTTTCATTAAACAATCCGCACCGACACATGCACTGCTTTCAAGCAGCTCTTGAGTAGCCTGGGTCACAGGCACACGACTCCGTTTCTGTAATCGTCACACAGAAAAATATTACTGTAACTTTGTGATTTTTTCATTAACAGTCCACAGTAAAAAAAATAAAAATAAGGTACACTGATTTGTTGAAATAATGAAACACTACTGCAACTCACCAAATTTTTGTTCTGCTGCTGAGTGGACGATTTGAAAGCCACAGTAGGAAACTCATTGCGAAGATACTTAATCCATTTTTCCACAATTTCTTTGGACACCAAATCTGTAGTGATTAATGTAGACATTTTTATTTGATGCATTTCTGTCTGCTGCTGCTTGTAGTTATAAATGCTAAAAACCAAGTACTGTCTTACCAATTTTATTGAGAACAAGGACAATTTTCTTGTTGGTTCCACTTTGGACAACAGCCTGTTCAACCTGTGGACAGCGGCAGCCTAAGGGGTCTCTTGCATCCAGAACCTCTAAAATAACATCTGATGCTTCTATTACCTGATATAAAAAGAATCAAAAAAGTAAACCGTCATTAAGAATTGGCCATTAGATGTGCATGTTCAATGTGAAGTATAAAGGGTTATCAAAACAGGTCAGTACAGGAAACAGTACCTTTTTAAATTCTCTGCAGTATGCTTTCCTTGAGTTCTCAGTCTCAAACTTGACATGCTTTTCCAGGTTTTGCATTTGAATTTCCTGCACCATTGCAAAAAAAAATAAAAAATAGAGGGTTATTAAGACAAAGGTGCAACTCTACAATAGGAAAATTTATAGGGGTGGATCATTTATATTCCCTCACGATAGTTGCACAAAATCATGACATGGATAAACTATAAAATGTAATTTGCAAACATTTCAGGCTGTTCTACTGTATATCAATTTACAAAGAAACACCACTTCTGAATTGGCCGAACAACTATGCATTAGAAAAAAAAAAGTGTGTGTATAACATACTGTACACTACTGTTAAAAAAAAAAAAAAAGTTTTTTGGGGGGGGGGAGGATTTATAGGGGTAATTAATAAATTAATTAATTCATCAAGGATGTGATAAATTGATTAAAAAAAGGTAACAGTAAAGATATGTATAATGTTACAAAAGTTTTCAAATAAATGCTGTTCTTTTTTCTATTTGTTCTTTTTTTCTTTAGTTTTCTGTTCATCAAAGAATCCTGAAAAAATATAACCCGCTTTCCACAAAATGTTTTCAACATTCATAATAACAAGAAATTTCATAAACAAAAAAAATATATATATTATTGACCCCACATTTTTGAAATGTACTGTATTTTAAAACACATTACATGTATTCTATTCTATTTTGTTCTGTTC